AAAATTACGTTTTTCGTATATTAAAATGATTAGTTTGTAAAGCAATTATAAAACTTACAAGAGAAAATTTCTACTGTGTAAATTAATTTATTTTATAAAGAAAGCATTTTCTCGACTTTATCGAAAACACGTCTTATAAATTATAAATTATTTTTTATAGAGTTGAAATTTTCTACTGAAAATTTAATATTGTCTATTCTTAAAATATATTGGTTTTGATATATATTAAATCTTTTTAATATATTTTAGAATATTAAAATCAGTGTATTTAAAATACACAACATATTAATATTATCAAAATTCACAAAAAAAAAAGTTGCATGTTCATCCACTTTTTAACAATCTCTTAATTAATTAGAGACTTTGTAGTTGAGGAGTAAATAATTATGACATGGTTTAACTTCATCGTGGGCTGCTCAAATAGTTAATTACATTATCTTTTAGTCACAATAGTTAAATTCATTTTACATAGCATCTTTGCTTTCCGTACACTTCGATTTGTATTGGATCAGATCATCAAATCCAGAAAACTAAATCATAATATTGCTTATTTATTCCGATGTTATTTTGAATCGTAATGGTTTTCTACAATAGTATAAATAATTAAGCATTAGCCAAAGATCTATTTTTCATTTTATTTTCTATGCTATTTTTAACCATATTTATAGATGAAAATATGATAATTGGAATTTTGAAAGAGAAAAAGTCAATCCTAAACTACTTAAGTTAAAAATAAAGATGGAGTTATATATTTTTCCTATTTGGGGTTGAAAAAGTCAATAGTGAGAGTCAAGACTTTTATCAATTTTATCAATAGACATTATGATCATTATAAAAAGTCTAAATACCATATTTGTAAACTTTTAACGTATTTCTTATTCTTTTCACTGTTTTTTACATAATTTAAACCATCTTATTTTTTACTTACATTTTGATTAATTTCCTTTTTTTTCAGTTGTTTTTTCCATCTGTCCAAACAATCACACTCTGACCAAACAAAGACGTCTTTGTTTATGCTATAAAATTCAAGGAATAAGAAAGAATTTAGTGGGTGACATACAAGGACAAAACAAACAATAAAAAAGAAAGGCCATGTTACCAAGCGTAATGATTAAAGGTTACATGTCTTTCCCTCGCCGTCAAAACGTTCTCATTATTCCCTATATATCAAACAAAGATTTCAAAGTTGTGATTAGCTTCAGCATTGATTTTGAAGATTTCCCGTTATATTAAAATATGTGATGTTCTGAATTCTGATTCTTGGCCGGTATATCAAACTAACCCGCTTTAAAAAGTGGGAACCTTCCATGGTGCCCTTAACACCACCATAAAATGATCAAACGAAGTGATGTTCCATCATAAATTTTATTCGAATTATCTTTTCACTGACAATACCACAAACAAAAACATTACTCTATACTCTAAAGTTCCTACATTGTAACTGGCCAGAATTTGAGGAAGAGTTAGATTAAATATAACCACAATCACATTGTCATTATGAAATATTTCCTCACAAAGTCTTCCTTTGGGGTGTAGTGGGTTTACCTCATATAGCCACTATCTAGTACGACTTACTATGCTATATCATACATGTCCTTTGAATTCTTCCACCTTCTCTTGTTTTAATCTCACAACTCAAAGTGTTGCAACCACCAAAAATACGTATTTGTTATGTTTTTATCATTATCTCAACCTGTATTTGCTACACATCAACCACCACACACACATATATATATAGCCCACGCATCACTTTAACTTCAAAATCCTAAGGGGGTCTCTTTCTCCACTCTTTTTGATTTAGCTAATATGGTAGCTTCTTCTCTACCTTCTAATACGTTACGGTGTGTATATGTAATCTCTTGGCTTGCATTAGTTCTCTTAATTTTTTTGTGTCTTCTACTATTGCAGGAAGTTCAATCAGAGCAAAAATGGATGGACAATGGACCCTCTCGCCGGGCCAAATGGTGGTACTCAACTTTCCACACTGTGACAGCCATGATAGGTGCTGGTGTTCTCAGCCTGCCCAATGCCATGGCATATCTTGGATGGTAAACTGAAATACATGTTTAAACAAGTTTCTCTTGAACACTAATCAAGGAAAGAAAATAAAAAGATAAAGTAGACTGAACTTCTTTGTAAACTAAAACTGACTTACGGGGAAGTTTAGAACACAGTTTCTATGAAAGTTAATCACATAGATTGCTCTTAGCTTATACGAGAAGTTCATTCAAACAAGGCCTAAAAACGTAAGATGCAGCGTAAGTTGTTAAACATGGGTTGTAGCTGAATGTTTATTATCTCTTCTCTTCTGTACAGGGGCCCAGGGATCTTGATGTTGTTGTTATCATGGTGCCTGACCTTAAACACAATGTGGCAAATGATACAGTTGCATGAGTGTGTTCCTGGAACTCGTTTTGATCGCTACCTTGATCTTGGTAGACATGCTTTTGGACCAAAACTTGGGCCATGGATTGTGCTCCCCCAGCAGCTAATAGTCCAGGTTGGGTGTGATATTGTCTACATGGTTACTGGGGGGAAGTGCCTAAAGAAGTTCATGGAGATAGCATGCATCGATTGCACACAACTCAAACAGTCTTACTGGATTCTGGTCTTTGGGTCCATCCATTTCTTTCTTTCTCAGCTTCCCAATTTCAATTCTGTTGCTGGGGTTTCTTTAGCTGCAGCACTAATGTCATTAAGGTGGTTCATGATCCCATATATCTATTATTTCATTAGAAACTAGCCTTTGAACTTGATAATTTATCGATCCCAAGTGCTAGCTTGCCATACAAGGACCCAAGGAAGAGATAAAACACACAAACATGAGATAAGGATAATGATCTATCTCTGAAACTAAGAAATTGATTGAAAAAGATAGTTAAATGAAAGATGCGAAGTGTTTGATTCTGTAGTGAAACCAAACAGAAGCAGAGGTATGTGGCCTTTAAACTCAAGGTAGTAGTTGGTGAGCTGAGCTTTTGATAGATAATATCATACTTTTGCAAACTCTTGATCCTTGTTTTTATGTTACAAAGTAAATTTTAGAAGGCGATACTCTTCTCACAGTATCAAATTATACTACCTTGATAGGAATGAGAGTCACCAACCATGTGTTCTTTACCTCGGCGTGTTTTTATGTGGTTTTCCTCCAATTAGAATTTGAGTTTTACTTCAATAATCTATATTGACATTTAATGAAAACTTTTATTACATGGATCACCAAAGTAAACTCTAATTTTTATTGAAAAAAAAAAAGCAACACCAGAACACTTAAGAAGCAACTGAATCTACGTTTTGTCCTTATTATTATTATTTGAATAACACTATAACTTACTTTCATGAGGTTTCTGGTTGAAGCTATTCAACGATAGCTTGGTTGGCTTGCTTGACTAGAGGTCGGATTGAGAATGTTAGCTATGCTTACAAGAGAAGCAGCAACACTGAGTTCGTGTTCCGGGTCTTCAATGCGCTGGGCCAAATCTCATTTGCATTTGCTGGCCATGCGGTGGCCCTTGAGATTCAGGCTACAATTCCATCAACCCCTGAGAAACCATCAAAGATACCAATGTGGCACGGTGCTCTCGGTGCCTATTTTATTAATGCAATATGCTATTTCCCAGTTGCACTCATAGGATACTGGGCATTTGGGCAAGTTGTTGAGGATAATGTGCTTATGGCACTAGAAAGGCCTGCATGGCTTATTGCCTCTGCTAACTTGATGGTCTTTGTCCATGTTGTCGGTAGCTACCAGGTCAGAATGCAAAAACCAAGAGCTTCAACTCCAAGTTATTTATGTTGCTTAAATAATTGTTGTGGAGAATATCAATGTAGGTCTATGCTATGCCTGTTTTTGACTTGATTGAGAGATTGATGACCAGAAGATTGAACTTCCCTTCAGGATTAGCACTCAGACTCGTTTCTCGATCTGCTTATGTTGGTGAGATTTCAAAACTGAAAACTTATCCATGCTAAAACTGCACAAAAGAAAATTGTTTATTTGTTAAGTACAGAGCAAGGGGATTGTTACCATGAAAAGTCTTAATGTGACAAGAAATTTAAAAATGTTTCAGCTTTTACGTTATTCATTGGGGTCACTTTTCCTTTCTTTGGCGATCTTCTTGGGTTCTTTGGTGGATTTGGTTTTGCTCCCACTTCATATTTTGTAAGGCTCTTTGCTTTCTTAACTTCCTCATGCCATGTTCATGTTAAATTGTGAAATCTTCAAGAACTGTATTAAAAGTAGAAAAACAATGATCCGGCAAGTTAACTTTTCAGCTTCCTAGTATAATGTGGCTGATAATCAAGAAGCCAAGAAGATTCAGCATCAACTGGTTCATCAATTGGGTAATGATTAGCAATTCTGAAGGAAACATTCTAAAATAGAATACTAAATTCAGAGGATCTAAGAGATGTTTCCTGCATGCATTGACCCTCAGTTTATGTGTCTTTCAGGCTGCAATATACATAGGAGTGTGCATTATGTTGGCATCAACTATTGGTGGCTTGAGGAATATCGCTGCTGATGCCTCTAGTTATAGTTTCTATACCTAAATTTTTGCAATAATAATAATATGGCAAATATAATCCAGTAAATCAAACTGGATTAGATTATCTAATTAATTAGGTCTTTGTTACTTTTATCAGCTATGGGTTGTAGCCTTTTCCCACCATCTTGTCTTTTCTTGTAATGGAAAAACAATCTCTGAAAGTTTATTTTGTCTGAGGTTATTAAATAACTTGGTTACTGCTGTAGTTTGTAATATTTCTAATAAACTCCTGTAATTATAAATAACTCTAATAACTCCAAAACCAAATTTTTATTAAGAGTTTTATATGTGAAATACAAGACTCGGATTAAAACGTTCAAATAATTAGTAATATTTATTAAAATTATTAACTTTTAATTTACACATAAAAGTGTTGTAATTTAAAAAAAAAAATTGAAGAAATTCACAATATAAAATGTATTAAGAAGTGGGTGAAAGAGTGAGGATATTCATACAATAGGGAGCTTCAAAATCAAATGTATCAAATCTGACGTGGTGAATTTGGCGAACGGAAGGAGCAAAATGGCGTCGATAACAGGACCGCAGATTCTGCTGCACTCTCGTTCTCCGTCGCTGAAGCTGAAACTGAAACCGTCATCAGCCTTTCTCCTCTTCCCAAATCCACCGTTCTCCGCAAAATGCACACGGCGTCGCGCCTTCTGCTCCATCAATTCCAATTCCAAGCCTCACGCTTCCACTTCCATCGTCCCCGACCTCCTCCATTACCTGAACCATTCCTGGACTCAATTCCACGCCACAGGTCTTCTTCTTACAACTCTCAACAATCAATATCCCTATCCTAAACCAAGATTCGATTAACCTTCAATTCCTGTGCAGCGGAAGCTAAACGACAATTACTCGCCGCCGGTTTCCAAATGCTCAACGAGAATCAAGACTGGGACCTCCAGCCCGGAGGACGCTACTTCTTCACGCGCAACATGTCCTGTTTGGTCGCTTTCGCCGTCGGAGAAAAGTGAGTTCGCTTCTTTCTTCGCTTTCTCTGCGCTCTGTAGTCCTTCTTTATGGTTCTCTTTGACGGCGTCGTTTTGCGAAGGTACAATGTGGGCGATGCTTTTCACGTGATTGCGGCGCACACGGACAGCCCCTGCCTGAAATTGAAGCCCAAAACGGCGTCGTGCAAGTGTAACTATTCGATGGTGAACGTTCAGACTTATGGAGCTGGGTTGTGGTACACTTGGTTTGATAGGGATTTGAGTGTTGCTGGGAGGGTCATTCTCAGAAATGGAGATAATTCTTTTGTGCATAAGCTTGTCAAAGTCGATAGACCCATTTTGCGCATTCCCACACTCGCCATTCATCTGGACCGGTATATATTACTGTAACTTTTATGCCTTCTATTAAGCTAGTTGATTAATTATTTTGCTCGGTTAAGTTGGTTTTTTCTGTCGTTTGTTTTCCTGTGACTACGTAGTGGGAACACTGTTCTCTAGTCTTTTATCGTCTTCATTCGGAACTGTCTTGGATCCAAAACATTCAGCACATAGTATTGATTCCAATTTGGTGGACATCTTGGAATGGAATGGGGAATATCGGATGGGTTTTTCTATTTTGGTCTATTTCAAATACGAAAGAATTAGATGGTGAGTTAAAAAATGATTTTTTTAGTGAAATGACCATGATCACTTTCATTTGATATTTCGGGTAATAAAGTTTAATGTTTGGTTGTGCAAAACTGAAGATTATGGTTATCTTTGTACTGGTATTCTTGTCCAGGCTGAAACAACTTTCTTGTGCTTTATAAAATTGAAGTTGTTCAATTATTGTAGGCTATTGTGTAATAACTATCAAAACACTGTTACTGGTAACTTCGGGGGGATTTATGTGGTTATTGTAGAGTAATTTTGGATCAATCAAGAATGACACGTAGATGATGTTAAAATGTTGTCAAAAGAATGTTGTCAAAGTATCAATATCCTTTCCTATTTGGCCCCAGTATCGTTTTTTTCATGTACTTTTTGTCATCTGCCACTGTTCTGCAACAGAAACATGCAGCTAGCAGCAGATCCTATCACCCTCTCTTGTTTGTTTTATTGTTTAGAACAGTGAACCAAGATGGTTTTAAACCAAATCTAGAGACTCATCTTCTTCCTTTGCTCTCAATAAAATCTGAGGACACTTCTTTGGAATCCATGGAGAAGAATAGTGCATTGTCATCCAAATCTTATCATCATTCGCTGCTAATGCAGGTAACTATTGTCTTTGGTTATTTCAAGTTGAATGTGAAGTATTGTCAAAAGTTTGAACAGACGCCATGTTCGATTCAAACTAGCTGCACTTCTTTTAAATATTATGTATTGCAACGGTCACGTGACAGAAAACCCTGCATATCCAATGAAAAAGGATATTGATTTCAAACCCTTGTCGATAAGATTTGATTTGAAAAGAAATACAAGTGGCGATGCCAATTCAATTGTTGTTCACTATTCTTTCTGGTTTGAGACACTTCTAATAAAATCCTGCAGACAATAAAGATAATTAATTTAGATGATATTCTTTTTTAAAATGTTATCAATGTACCAAATTCATTATTAATAAGTTTTAAAATTATTTCCTCACTATTCATTAATATAAAACACAAAATACTCATAAAATTTAATAGGCTTAAACGAGGAAAAGAAATCTAAAATTATATACAAATTATAAAAGGCCTTCTGAAAAGGACCAACAATTTCTTCTAAAAATGTGTTTTACTGAGGAAGTATTATAAGAAATATACTTGACCTTTAAAATTACCATTCTTCTATTGTAGTAGAACTTTATTAGTGACAGAAAATTGTACACACAGTCTTTAGTCCATTACAAAGCAATATGCCAATCAATTGGTATCATTAGATTTTGGTATGTAAAGGCATGGCAATATGTGCGAACATTGGGGAGGAAGATTTTAAATCAGAAAGTAATTATTCCGTTGAGACTAAGTACTGTAAAACAAAATGTCTTATTGCTTTCATATATTAGTTCTCAAATCAAAAATATGTGAGAAGGATTGAATGGGTTAATTAGAGTAGCTGGTAAATAAGAAAAAAGGAGGCAACAAGGAACATTGTGTAAAAATGATAACAACAGCCTAACTTCTAATGACGCTACATGAATTCACATGGGAATGGTTTGATGCCTCTGATTTTTATTTCAATGCCTGAGTTAGCTTGGATTTTGGAATCGGTTGCTCAGTCAAACTAGATTGATTTGTAGTTGTTTTAAGAATTGATATGGGTAAAATGAAATGCTTTTATTCTGCCAATGGAATTGTGATGTAGTTTATCCGTTCTGATCTTAAATTATTTGTTTTTTAACTATAAATTACTGAATTGCCTATCCTTTGACTACTATTCTTTACAGTAGCCCTTATATTAATTCTCAGGTACTATCAGATGAATTGAACTGTGATGTTGATGACATAGTGAACATTGAACTGAATGTTTGTGACACTCAACCTAGCTGCCTTGGAGGTGGAAACAGTGAATTTATATTTTCTGGAAGATTAGATAATCTGGCTTCAAGTTATTGTGCATTAAGGGCACTTATTGACTCATGTGAATCTCCGGGTAACTTAGCAAGTGAACATGCAATTCGGATGGTGGCTTTATTTGACAATGAGGAGGTATTTATTTTTCTTGATTTGTATGCTTAATGTTTATAGATGTCAGATTTTGTTCCACTTTTGCTTGCCAACAATAGGTTACGTGCTTATTATGTTGAAAATTGCTCAAATTATAAGATCAAAATACCCGCGATTCACCAAAAGCACCAAATAATTGTCTCTAATTGAAGAAAAAAAAAATACCCGTAGGGCATAGTTTAGAGTTTCACTCCCAGCTACAAGTATCGATACAACATTAGAATAACATTAGAATAAAGTATCTAACAGAAAGATCATAACTGCTTCTCTTCAATCCAAAAGCAAGGACTAAATTAATTAACCTTCCACACCAGACACGAGGTAGATTATTTCAACCCTTTTGGGGCTCTGTCCCAGAGACAATGTTGAGAAGCAATTACAGAATAAATGCAAATAGTAAATTATTCTATTAATTCGATCCATCCACTTGGGGCGAGGCATCCAATAAATTGTTACGTCCAGGATCCCTTTTTTTAATAATAAATATTGTTAAAATGCAAGATTAGGTGGAATTATTTTCTTATATGGCATTGCTTCATATATCATCAACCTTACTGAAGTGTTATATGACATTTCACCATTGATTTTCGGATGATATGTCTAACTGCCTCTATTTAGGTGGGTTCAGGTTCTATTCAAGGAGCTGGAGCACCCACCATGTTTCAGGCCATGAGGCGTATAGTTGGTGACTTGGCAAATAACTATGTTGGTGAAGGCTCTTTTGAGCGCACTATTCGTCAATCATTTCTTGGTATATGATCCACTTGTCTTCATTCCAAAGTAAATTTGAGGCATTATACATAAGGGTTGACAACACCAACTTGATCATAATATTGTGGTTATGGATCTTTTGCAAACTTTCAGTTGTCCGTCATGTGTTATAGATTGACCAGAATACCTAATTACAATAGAATCTGGAAAGTCACATTATGGACTTTGGCTGGAAAGTTCATAATTTGAAATATAAAATAAGAATGCTGTGTTGTGGAACTTTCTTTGGTTGCTAGATCTATTAGAATGCTAATTTGATTTTTTGGGTACAAACCTAACTTTGGAAAGCAAAAACAGGGAAAGAGGTTAAGCATGGATTTCTCTCTGGATTTGATGAATATGTGCATATGATTTTGTCCTGCAACATTAAAAATTTCCCTTTTTGTTAGATGTTAAATCTAGTAATAATATAATATTTCTATTTAGGTAAAAGATCATACTCAATGGAAAATAGTAATAAGCAATAGTAAATTTGATGTCCTTGTTCTCTGATTCATTGATTAACGTAATATTTTGAAAGGGACTGATGGGAATCAAGATCCAAATAAGCCAGGAATGATCCATTGTTAGATCCTGTCCGAAGGAGTAAATCACCCATCTGCAAAGTGTATATCAGAAGAGGGCATGTGACATCTTAATGCCCCACTGACAGTTCCTGTTAATCAGTTATATATATATATATATATATATATATATATATAGAGAGAGAGAGAGAGAGAGAGAGAGAGAGAGAGATGTGTGTAGTTATATAGGGAGTTAGTTATGTCAATTGTGTGTATCTTTTAAGTATGGACTGGGAACTCATCTCTGTAAGAGTCTGCTACTCTAGGACAGCGACTACTGCTGTACCATTTGTATTTTATGTGATTTGTAATATTATTCATTATGTATCTATTGGCTTTATATTGGGGATCACTAAAGTATCTTTTGGATTGCATCCTGAATAGTGTCTGCGGATATGGCCCATGGAGTTCATCCAAATTTTATGGATAAGCATGAAGAACTCCACCGACCAGAGCTGCAGAAAGGATTGGTAATCAAGCACAATGCAAACCAGCGCTATGCTACCAGTGGAATCACATCTTTTCTTTTTAAAGAAGTTGGAAAAATCCACAACCTTCCTACTCAGGTTATTCTTCTTTTTGGTTGCATTAATTTATACTCATGAAACACCTATTTATAAAGTCTGAACTCTGAAATGCAGATTATTTTATTGACATGTCAACAATATGAAATATAGGAGCATCAAACTAAGTTAATCTATTAACTTCTCGATTGAGTAATTTTTCCTGAATTACTTCTCTCAATGTTAGTTAAATTTCTCTTGAACCTTAGTTATTTGAGTTACTACTATGGATTAATTTGATTTAAGTTATCTTAATTATTTGAATTACTGTATTAAACCTTTTCACATTACAATCTAACTCCATCGCCAAGAACTATAGACCAAGTATCCAATGAAATTATCAGAGTACTTTGCGTCTTAACAATCTTTGTACTTTGCTCATTGTTGATTAGAATTATTAGCTTAAAGGTTCATCCATTACAAATTCAAGAATCAGACATATATTTTATTATAGATTTTACTCAATTATTTATTTATATCTACAATGTAAACAAATATTTTTAAACAATATCAAACACCAAACGAATCATTTTATTTTTTACAACTAGAACATATAAAAAATAAAAAAATTTACTTTTTAATTACATGAAATTAAAGTAATTTTATTCATCTACATGTACAATGCACAGAAATAAAAACAACAAATAAGAAGACTCTAGAGTATAATATACTTCTCTCTTCTAATTTGTTTTAGATCTAGAACTTCCTAATACGAACAAATTTGTATGTCTACATCAACTCCTGCACTTGTGACTAGCATTCTGGTGGATACTTTCTATGTGCATGACAGCTTAGCAAGAGATTACCATCCATTTATGAATTAGCGTATCAGTTTCCATTACAGCAATTATTTTATACTATAAGTTATATTGTTAATCACAGACCATTGGAGATAACTTACTAATGCTACTGTGTTAGTATACTTTTCTTTAGGAACCTCTCTATCTATGCAAAAGGAACTTTTGAATCATTACAGGAAAACAGATAGTAAAGCGCATGAATAATTGAAAATGTAAATTAGTGTGTAAACTAGGAGAGTGTTGTATCTTCTTTTCTCTGATTTGTTGATCGTCACATTACGTAATTGAGGCACCTATACAAATAAAATTTGTTTACTCAAATTGTAGGACTTTGCTGTCAGAAATGACATGGGGTGCGGATCGACCATAGGTCCAATACTTGCTTCTGGAGTTGGCATCCGAACTGTTGACTGTGGAATTGCTCAACTTTCAATGCACAGGTATCAAATGATTTTTGCATGAAAACTTCGTTTAGAGGGACAATAAAATAAAGCCTATATTCAATCAAAGCCTGTCACCATGTCATATGCTTAGCCAGTCGGCCTTGCTACCAAAAAGGTTATATGAATAAGTCTGGTAGTCAGTTCAAATACACCTTGCATATGTAATGAGCAAAGATGAAAGTCAACAAACCATAGGATTTGTTAGTATTTATAAACAGAGGGGGAGAGGAACCAAATTGTGGTATTCCGTATTTACATTTAAGGCTTTAATTTCTCTTTTAGAATAAAGTGCAAGTTGTCGGTATGTTGCCTCTATAATCGTTTTTTTTTGTCTTCCTGAGCACATTAGCTGTTATCGTGGTCATATTCTTGCCTTCTTATTGAAATCCTTCTTTTGCAAATAAATAAACAAAAGGTCATGCTGGAGGGAAATAGAAGCCAGTGTTCTAATTTTTTTGTTCCATTCATCTCTCACCCACTACATGAATATTGAGTCGAGTCTGCTTTTGCTTGGATTGCAGTATAAGGGAAATGTGTGGGAAGGAAGATATCGACATTGCTTACAAACATTTCAAAGCTTTCTATCAAAGCTTTTCAAGCGTAGACAAGATGCTGACTGTAGATAACTGAGCTGTGTTTTGTACCATGGTAACGTTTCCCGAGTAAGTGCTAAGCACTAAATTTTACGATGGCTTTGCTTACCTGCTTCAAACTTTAGCACAAAACTTGATTTTCCTCCTTGAACTCAAGCAGATGAACTTTCTTACCAGACTTTTAGATGCATTATGCCAGGTTTTTATTTTGAAATTCTTTTTAATTGCCCAAAGGGTACTTGTAAATATGTTAAATTAAAGCATGGATTTTCTTGTCAGTGGTTTTTACAATGTCGGAGTACATGGTTAGAGTAGCACCATAAAATCTCAAAGTCTATTTTCATATTTAACACTAATTATCGGCACGTGCCACCGTGCCAGGATTAGGATGGAATAGAAACTGCAATCAATACTTCAGTGCTGTTTTACACTGTTTTATACTTTACCATTAAAGAAATGCAGCTATAAACTGCTATGTTGAAATGTATGATAAGGGGCACACTAGTGAAAAGATAATGTATTATTTAAATCACTTAGCAGCAAGCTTGGTTCGGAAGTTCATCTGTTGAAATTGGTACTGATTATGGAGATTCCAATTTAAACCTAATAACTCAAGTAATAATATCATGATATCCCGAGTTACTGACATGTGAGCATGCCAAGATTTACCGACTTTGGAAGCTACTATTCTGAAATAGGTTTATTTCATGCCCAATTAAATGCATACCATTCAGTCGTTCATAAAACATAGGAGAATCCTAACAATGTCATTGTCTGTCCTTTATCAACAGTGCTTTAACTTTTCTTGCTTAGATCAATTTTAGGAGTCACTTACTCTCACATTGGCTTGGATAATTAAGTTATTTGATGTGGTATTTTTAAGTTAGAAAATTTTCTTAACAGACTAATATTTTCAGTTTCACCTTTTTGTTTTGTTTTGAATCCCATCAGATAAAATTTTGGTCCATGAACACCCAAAAACATTTTATTGGGGGCACTTATAAAAAAAATGAAGCAGAAAAAATCTCTTAAAACAATATTTCGCCGATTTCCAATACGTAAAAAATTATTAGAAGCTAAAGGTTTTGTTTGTTTAAACTTAAAAGAAAGTAGAAATGTTAGTGATTTAATTTTTTTGTGAAAATTTGGAACTGTTTCATTTCAACTTAAAATAAACTTAAAAGAAAAGTAGAAATGTTAGTGATGTAAATGGTGTCTAGAATTTCTATTTTGAGAAATTACTCCACATAACTTAAAATAATTGAAAATTTATGTCTTTCTTTTCAAAATCGCAAATATCTGGAACTTCATAATACGATAAAAGATTCAAAATAAATTGTTCTTTTATGACAAATAGCAAACAAATGGACTCTAAAATATGTACTTAAAATCAATTTTAGATATCACACTTAATTTTCAAATTAAACCATGACCAAACACAGTTGGTGGTTTGTCATTTCATATTGGTAAAATAACATTAAACATTGGTTACCTCACAAACTAGTCACTATTTGCAATCAACCCACAACACTTATTCTTTGTTTGAAAGATGAGAAGAAAAATATGAGAAATTAGTAAAATAAAAACGATAAATTTTAAAAATTTATTTTTGGTATGCTCTCGTTTTTTACTTTTTAATAAAACACAAACTTAGTTTCATGAATTCTTTCTTTTGCGCAAAACTCAGACCACAGATGTTCGAGCTTCGACATGTCATACAGTAAAGTGAAACATTAGAATAAACCACCAAAAGACACTTCTGAAAAACTAGTATTAATCCCGCCACGCGGAGGAATTCTGACACCTGGTTGTGGGTATTATGGACACACTCTGCATTCCATCATCGCTTTTATCTTTTATTTTAATTTACTTTTGAAGATGATGAGAAATTGGATGTTTCTTTTGGTGGGTTTGGCACTGGATGAATGGAAGGAATGGTGGGAATTCTACCCCTCAAACAAACCCTTTCCTCCCATGCAGGGAAGAATAGGGTGATAGAGATGATGGTGAAGAACAACGGACAGGCAGAGGTGCATTAATTGTACTAACTATTAATCTCCAAAACATTGAATGGGCTTTTTTCATAAACTATATTGAAAATAAATAATTTGTAAGAGACATCGCCCAGTTCACCATTCACTACCTTTCTCACTTCCACCAATACCGTGCATCGGTTCTCTCCTTGAATGCAACATTAACCTTTACAAAAAGTCAAGGGGAAAGAATGAAGAAAATAGGCGATCACTCAAAAAAATGATAATATATGTAAGATAATAAGGAAATCCAGAAAAAGAAATGTTAGAACTGAGTGAAATATACAAGTTAGTCATGTATTATACATGAGGTCAAGGATAATTCACCAGACGATATTGTAAATTATAGCGACTAATGACTAAAGCTTGGAAAATTCAGTTAAATCTCAGCATCAAAAGTTGCTGCACCTCAAGGCAAATGACGTACTGATCTCTTTAACTGAAACCCCTAGAGCTTGTTGAAGGAGCTGTAGCCAAAACAACAAAATCACAAAATGTAAAATTAAACAAATTCCTTTAAAGGTCGTTATAACAAATGCTCCATTTGCAATCATCCTCTGATTGACAAGCACTAAGCTAATGTAAAATTTGATGTGCACTGTTAACTACAAGAGAGTATGGAAGATGAAGAATGAAACACTAATTGATGTTTAATTGAGATGTATTACAATGTATTGATGCGTTCATAAAATCAAACCTTTACTTGCATTACACATAATCTTAGCTAATTACTTAGAAAAAAAAAAAAAAGAAAAAAAAAGAAAAAAAAAAAAATAAAAAAAAAAAAAAAATTAAAAAGATATGATAAAATATTTTTATATATACTAAGACATACCTTCATCCAAGTCAAGAACAAACTTTTTTGGCTCCGTTTCCTGTGAAGAAGTCCTCATGATCAACAGTAGACGCTCTAAAATCTCCTCAAAAAATTCAATTGTCTACAAGAGACACATTCACGGACTGGTGGAAGATGCAGGAAGCATCCCTGTAAAGCCGAGATTGGAAGGATAGATCAATGCTGGTGGGATGATCTTTCGGAAATATGCAAATCCATTCCAACCAAACTCAGCCTATATGCCTGCACTCCAATCAGCTAAAAGAAAATTGGAGCTTCAGTAGCCCAAGATCTTACATCTTGCACCTCTGGCTGACTGGGTGCAGGCATGGCCCATGCCCCTCACCGGGGCCGGGCCAATCCAAAACTTGCATCAGGTGGGGGCTGATGAGACTGCATTATCAAGTAAATGAAAGAGTGCAATTTTTAATATCCAAAACAAAGCAAAACAACAGATTTCTAAGCTACGGACACTAGATGTGTAACATAAACATACATCATATTAGTAAAAAATCACATGGCATTATGATAAGCAGCGTAGATGGAATTAAATTGAATTTACAACACATAAGAAAAATCTACTAGCCACAACTGCCGGAGAGGTGCTGAAAATACACTACTTAAAAGGACACCAACTACGAAGACTAAACAGACAATTTTCAAGTGTAATCCAAGAAAAGGTAAAGCACAAATTTGCTTTGTAATGCAAGATAATACATAAGTTAAATTGCATTGAAAATCCTCACGGTTTTGGGGGAACATTCAAACAAGTACTTGTTGGGTTTTGACTAAATTTATAAACATATTTTACTTAGTTTGAGTTTTGTTAGCAAACACAAGAAAAACAAATCATTCATAGCCAATAACCACCTATTATTTCACGACTTCATGAACAGGCCTTTGACAGGTCTCACCTCCAAAGTTTAAAGATGCCAATTGTGATTGAAATTATATATGCTAGTACTGAATGTTTTGTAATTACTAACATGATACATGGCTAATTTCATCATTCTAGTGTCATTTAGTGATCGATATCTTTGTGTAATATACAAAAGTTGCACTTGCATAGTTACTTTAAAGTGCTGCATATGTATATGAAATTTGCTTTTTATTTTAAAAGGTTCAATCTGTTTACATGTTTAAGTCGAATAAATTCTCAATTGAAATGTAAGATCAACATCTTAAGGTTACGCTTTCAGTTAGAAAATACAGTATTATTTTTCAATAGAGCTCTATTTCTCTACAACTGATCAAATGTTTTTATTTAAATCTTATAGAACATTAAAAATTGTATAATTATGGCCACACATGTATATCAATCAAATTGGCAGACTATGAAAGATAACTTACCTCATGGTTTTAAAGATACTCATTTATTCTATTAGAATGCTGATCTACATCTGTATATAACTGCCATCAAAATCCTTTAATGGTTTTAACAACATGGACGTTTATGTAACTAAAGCTTTATACAACAATTTTGAATTGTTTTCTTTTCGTTCATGTTAGAACAAAACATATTAGAAGCAAAACATTAATCAACTAACAAGGAAACTATGGACCATATAAAACACTGCACATAGATATGGAGGTTATTGTTGTCATTATACCTGTGCAAAGGGTTGGTGAACATGTTCATGATGGATAAACGGCATTCCAGGGCGCTGACAGGGATACTGAGATGAATGCAGATACATGGTTGATGATGAGTGTGCACCAACTTGATTAGGATTAAATGGGGGCATCATGGTCTCAGGATGTCCATATCCAATTCCAGCAGGTGTTGATTGTGCAGCCCATGGCCCAGGCATATGCTGTGGAAGAGGTCGTGGTTGGTGTTCAGCAGAAAGCTGGGGTCTGTGAGTGGATCCAAGTTGTGGAAACTCAGTGTTGTAATTCAATACTGCCGTATACATTGGCTGTATAGCATATGATCCTCCATTGAACCCAAAACCAGGATCAAATCTTTGCGTGTACCTGCTATACAAGTTATAAGTAGACTATTAGGCTAATTCATACATTAAATATAACTCAGTGTTTATCTTGCATACAATCACATGCTAAATAACAAAGAAACTGACAAGTTCCTTGGGACTTCAGCCTTCCAAAAAGGTTAATTATTATGATATGTGATAGACTCGAGCATATTGTCCTGAAATTAGAAATGGAAATATGGATTCAATTCGACCCACTGGATTGGCCTGTTATAATTTAATGAATATCAGTCATTGGTTAAACAAGGCAGGCTGAGTTGAATCACTCAACCCACTGACCCATTATAACCCACCCCGTGTAACCCACATGCAAATAGTTTTGAGATGGGGTTGAATTGGGCTGATCAGTGACCCATTATTAATTCATGTTAGTTGAGTATGGCCTTTGGTATTTGCTTTGTGGTTTATTGGTGAATTGAGACTTATTTTTGACAATTGAACTTATTGTGTTAATGAACTATAGAATTCATATATCTATTTTTGAACTTGTAATGCCATTGGTGATGCTTCAAGAATTAGGATGTTTTTTATGAAATAATTAAGGGCTATGTTTGGATGATTTATATTTTTTTCTATTTTTAAATTTATGTCTGAAACTGTGGTCTATAACCAAGCCGGATGCCATCAAGTAACCCATATGGCAGACCTGGCCTGATGAGATAAGACTTTCTTGCCATTTTTGTAGAAGGGTCAACCTTCTATAACCCATTCTTTAAAAATTAGTCAGACAATCCAACTAACCCAAGGGTTGGATTTTCAGCCCAGCATAGGCCCAACCCAACCCCACCACTCGGGATGGAATGAGTTGACCAGTTCTGAAATCCCCCACCCGGAATATTCATTAGTCACCACATTATTCTAAAATAACTGCAGAAATATTTCAGATTCCTGCTATAATATTTAAGTATTAAAATAATAGCATAACAATCATTCAAATCTTTCTAGGGGTTTGAAGAGAATTTGCAAACAAACAGGGAAGACTGAATATTTTGTTGAATAAAGCCAATTATCAAATATTCGTTCAAACAAAAGATTCATTAAACTAAATCTTCAATACGAAGAAGGTGCTACCAAATATCAGTATGCATGGGACAGTATATCTTAATGTGTGCTAATTGCAAAATCCAAATGCCTTGGTTATCAATTATTAATTATTCATTTGTTGTGAAGAAATGATAAATTGACATAAGATATTCTGTCTACACTCCATAACTATAAGAAATGAAAGTGTGGTCTGAATATGAAGAAACATACAGAAATTTATTATCACTTTTCGTGAAATCATTTACGCCATCAAACTCAAACCATTTATATATTTACAAAGAACAAGAAACGAGATCACAAAACATAGCAAACAAAAGTGTGACAAAGAACGTAAAAGGCACAAATACCTATCATAGCTCCTGTCATAATCAGGATCTTTGCGGTCAACCTCACGATCCCGAAATATAGCCACCCTATTATTTTGCCTGTACCTACCAACTGTTTCCTTCTCTGTCCTACTTCTAGCCCTATTGGTATTACTTGAAGACTCAACCATCCCCCTACCAGAAGTGACATCAGATACCGAAGCTGATTTGTCTTCAACCCGAGGAACCCCCAATGAAACGTGCAATGAGTTATCCTGCTGTCTTGAGTCACACTCTGGCTTCCCAACTACAGTTCCACCATTATTGCTTGAACTAAATATCCTTGCTCGAGCCCGATTATATTCCTCTTTTCTCTCTTCCACACTTTTAGAGTTACTATTCTTCATTGAGTTTGAATTTGCATTACTAAGTATCTGTGTCCCCTTCTGTGGCCTCTGTTTGATTGCAACCTTCATGACAGCACTGTTTTCTGATGATAATTTCACTGGGATGTCAGCAAGGCGGATAACTGGAAGCCTACATTCAGAGGTTTTGCGAACAATAATTCTTGAGCCAGAACCGTCTGGTAAACTATTATCTAGTAACACCATTGACTGTAATGAGTAGTGCTGAGCCACCCGATGCGCAGCAAGCCTCAAATAGGATGTTGGAAGCTGCTTAAATTCAAGCTGCTGTTGAGTTGGATCACGAATAAAGTTTTCAACATCTTGCTCCATCCTCAATACTGAATATCAAATTATAAGCCTTAATCAGTGGGGCGCAACATAATATTCTATGAAAACAATTGGAAAAGTAGCAAGCAAATGAATCACGTGAGATCGATAGAACATTTACATGTAAAATTTTAATTATAAATAACTATGTTTTTGCATCCTCATTTTTTTCTTTTAACGTGGGGTAATCACTCTCCCCAGAAAATATATCTAGAAAGTCCCTGAAAACTCTAAATCTGAAAGGCACAAGAAAAGGCATCTGCAAAAATCCAGTCAAATAAAACACATTCTCTTGCGATCGACAAATTAGATAGTTCAAACTCAATTAAGGTCAGGAAGCAGCTTGGTTGAGTTTTCATATGATTTGACTCCTCTCAAATGAAACATTCACTATAGACGTGATGAATAAGGAATTAAATCTACTGATGAGAAGGTGGTAGAGAACGAGAAAAACATTCCAAATAAGAATCTTTCACTTCAAAAACCCAAATCCTTTCATATGGTGGCTACACTTAAAAATGCAGAAACTATGCCGGAATTGTTTCTCTCACCACACCGCACAAGCGTAAAATTATACTGGCAGTGTAGCTAATTACAGCCCAAAATTTTTAACAGTAATCAGAACCTAAATCAACTCCCTGATACCAATTATAACACCCAACAAAAGAAAATCTAGGATTTCGGAGTCTAATATAATTCACGAAATATTAACAAAGTAAAAATTTCTCTGAGAACGTTGAAAGAAACAAGAGCTTATAAATGCCTTCCCCCAACTAATTGATGCCTGTAAAGGTAAACCTACTTGAGAGTCGTTCGCGAGGGTTCTGAATGGCTTCGCGAAGGAACTGATCGACCTGATTGACGACGTCATCGGAAACCTTGTCGCCACTGGACGAAGGGAGCGGAGGAGCCGGTGGCGGCGGCGGAACGTCATCATCGGAGAGACGTTGGTGAGGATGGTTGGAATCCTTGCTGGAAGAGAGCATGAGGTTCAAGCGGTTCATGGACTCGTCCAAATCGGCGACCTCCCATGACTCGGGGGCTCCGAGATCCTCTGCAGAGCCCTCCATGGAGAAACTGCGAAGAGATGAAAGGGGTTTGTTAAGGGGTTAGGGAATCGAACCTGATTCTGAAACCGTGGAGTATGGCGTGTCGAGTTTCATCAGAAGATTCGGTTTTAGGGTTAGGGTTGGGAATTTTGGAATTGGGGCAGAGTGAACGAGAAGGGGCAAAAGCGAAGCTAGATAGGGTTTGGGTTAGAGTTTGACGACGACGATAGATGGATGCACCCTCCTTCCTCCCACGTGTCCCTCTCTTCTGATACTACGCTATTTTTTACGTATTTATCATCATTCATCATTCATATAAATAAATTTTATATCTAATCAAATTCTATCTACACTATTAAGTTCATCCATAAAATATGAGTTTTCTACAATTAACAAAATATTATAAGATTGATTTTATTAATAAAATAAATATATATATTTTTGGTCAACAAAATTTTATTTGGTCATCACGAGAAAGGTTTTATATTCTATAGCTCTAAAATTAAAAATATAAAAATATTTATACAAAGTTAAATTTAGTTAGGTTATAAGAAATCAAAAAAAATATTTAAGAAGTGAGAAGGATAAAAAAAAATGAAGTTGTAAGGAAAAGAAAAGCTATTTTACTTTAAAAAATTGAATTATATTTAAGCCGAATAATATCAGTCAAAATTCCTCCAATAGGACCTTCCTGATGACCAGATTAAATAGAAATTAAATTTTAAAATTAAATGAAACTTTGAGAATTTTCAGAACATTAGTTATCTTTCTTAATTTAAAAGACTGATATGAAACATGATATACAAAAATTAAATTAACGATTTTTTAAAATATCAACAGACATTGTTTTCAACTGAATGTTTTAGACTTTTCCTTCATAAAACTGATTTTATAAGTGTGCGTGGGAATCTAAAACTTTTGAATTAAAAAATAAATAAAAATAACGATGTATCAGAAACACTTTCTTCTAATCAACTCATTCCATATATAAAAAAATTTCCGATTATACGAGACAGGTAATTAAATTTTAAATAGAAATAGTTATATATACTTTTTTTTTGTTTTCTCATCATTTTTTAAACTTATCAACACTTTAACTAATATTTTAAAAAAAAAATGCACTATCTCACGGATAATAGCCCCACCCAACACGCAACATCACCACAAACTCAATAATAATTGAAAAGCACTTATTAAAATGGAATCGCAGTTTTTAAAACTTAATGAGAATCCCTGATTTCAATGGACCTAATCGGTTTCATAATTCTAAAATATGTAATTGCTTCTTTAACCTTTCTATTTACATCCCATCATTTTTAAAAGTCCACATTTTTATTTTTGTACATAAATATCTTCAAAATATTTAGAAATACATATTATAATATAGTAATCTATTATTATATTTTATTTTATACCAAAGATATAATATATACAATTAACAGTGTATGATATAAAAATATGTTATTATATTCTATCTTTAATATATTATTGTATATAACATTATATAATTATCTTCAAATAACAAATTTTATTATATTTGTTTATTCATAACTTAAGAAACATGTAAATATATTATCTATCACAATGATAAAAAAATTTATATAATTCTCATGGATATAGATTCTTTAAATTATTATTTATTAAGAGTTTTTTTAAGTGGGTCTTCCCCTCTCTCAATGAGACTTTGTCCATTTTATCAAAAATAAAGATTGGTTGATAAATATTGGTTCTTGAAAGCCCCAAACTCTAATTCAGAGACATCTCAACTAAATCCAATAAGAACATCTTTTATTGTTTTACATGAAAGTTTTCTCATTCGTATAGATAGTGATGATTACATAGTGTTGTATGTTTGTGTGTTCTTTGTACTGGTGTTAAGGCAAGTTTACATGACTCGTATAAATTGAGCTAAAAATGGTTCAACAAAACTCATTTTTTGGTGATCCAAAAATTTTGTAACATGGATTGACTTATCATTGATGTCTCACTTTCGAATGTCTTATTTTTTGAGTTTATTTTATATATTTATGACAGTATAATTGATTCACTTATTCATTTTTTCTATAATAGTATAAGCAAAATGTTTACCCACTTCTCCAAATTTATATACTATTATATAAAAAAATTCATCTATTTGGTATTCACATTTTTTTTTCAATTTTATTTGACCATTTCTTTTAAATTTAACTTTTTAAAATATTTAACCATTTTTCTAATTTAACAACTTTTTAAATTTAATCCTTTCTTGATTAACCATTTTTTAAAATTAAATAATAAATTATATAAGAATTAAACAAAATTATCTATAATTAAATTGTACAAATTATTTATTTTTATTTTTATAATTTAATTTCATTATTTTTCATTAAAAATGAACAGTTAAGAATTAAAGTATTATAATATCTAACTAATATTATTTAATTGTTATTGAATAACAATATAATATTTAAAATACCTAAATTTTGGTGAGTTTAGTTGACTTCAATCTATCTTTAAAGAAACTAAACCTTTTTAATCCAACCAAACTCAAACTTATGGTAAGCAAAATTAATTCACGGGATATAATCCATTTTAACAATTGAGTCATTTGACAAGTTTGATTAGAGGTGTTAGTGAGGTAGTGGTGATTTGTAGANTTATGTCTTTCTTTTCAAAATCGCAAATATCTGGAACTTCATAATACGATAAAAGATTCAAAATAAATTGTTCTTTTATGACAAATAGCAAACAAATGGACTCTAAAATATGTACTTAAAATCAATTTTAGATATCACACTTAATTTTCAAATTAAACCATGACCAAACACAGTTGGTGGTTTGTCATTTCATATTGGTAAATAACATTAAACATTGGCTACCTCACAAACTAGTCACTATTTGCAATCAACCCACAACACTTATTCTTTGTTTGAAAGATGAGAAGAAAAATATGAGAAATTAGTAAAATAAAAACGATAAATTTTAAAAATTTATTTTTGGTATGCTCTCGTTTTTTACTTTTTAATAAAACACAAACTTAGTTTCATGAATTCTTTCTTTTGCGCAAAACTCAGACCACAGATGTTCGAGCTTCGACATGTCATACCGTAAAGTGAAACATTAGAATAAACCACCAAAAGACACTTCTGAAAAACTAGTATTAATCCCGCCACGCGGAGGAATTCTGACACCTGGTTGTGGGTATTATGGACACACTCTGCATTCCATCATCGCTTTTATCTTTTATTTTAATTTACTTTTGAAGATGATGAGAAATTGGATGTTTCTTTTGGTGGGTTTGGCACTGGATGAATGGAAGGAATGGTGGGAATTCTACCCCTCAAACAAACCCTTTCCTCCCATGCAGGGAAGAATAGGGTGATAGAGATGATGGTGAAGAACAACGGACAGGCAGAGGTGCATTAATTGTACTAACTATTAATCTCCAAAACAATGAATGGGCTTTTTTCATAAACTATATTGAAAATAAATAATTTGTAAGAGACATCGCCCAGTTCACCATTCACTACCTTTCTCACTTCCACCAATACCGTGCATCGGTTCTCTCCTTGAATGCAACATTAACCTTTACAAAAAGTCAAGGGGAAAGAATGAAGAAAATAGGCGATCACTCTAAAAAAATGATAATATATGTAAGATAATAAGGAAATCCAGAAAAAGAAATGTTAGAACTGAGTGAAATATACAAGTTAGTCATGTATTATACATGAGGTCAAGGATAATTCACCAGACGATATTGTAAATTATAGCGACTAATGACTAAAGCTTGGAAAATTCAGTTAAATCTCAGCATCAAAAGTTGCTGCACCTCAAGGCAAATGACGTACTGATCTCTTTAACTGAAACCCCTAGAGCTTGTTGAAGGAGCTGTAGCCAAAACAACAAAATCACAAAATGTAAAATTAAACAAATTCCTTTAAAGGTCGTTGTAACAAATGCTCCATTTGCAATCATCCTCTGATTGACAAGCACTAAGCTAATGTAAAATTTGATGTGCACTGTTAACTACAAGAGAGTATGGAAGATGAAGAATGAAACACTAATTGATGTTTAATTGAGATGTATTACAATGTATTGATGCGTTCATAAAATCAAACCTTTACTTGCATTACACATAATCTTAGCTAATTACTTAGAAAAGCAAATCATGGCACGACAAGGAAATAACGAAACTTAGAAAACTCTAAGAATTTAAAAAGATATGATAAAATATTTTTATATATACTAAGACATACCTTCATCCAAGTCAAGAACAAACTTTTTTGGCTCCGTTTCCTGTGAAGAAGTCCTCATGATCAACAGTAGACGCTCTAAAATCTCCTCAAAAAATTCAATTGTCTACAAGAGACACATTCACGGACTGGTGGAAGATGCAGGAAGCATCCCTGTAAAGCCGAGATTGGAAGGATAGATCAATGCTGGTGGGATGATCTTTCGGAAATATGCAAATCCATTCCAACCAAACTCAGCCTATATGCCTGCACTCCAATCAGCTAAAAGAAAATTGGAGCTTCAGTAGCCCAAGATCTTACATCTTGCACCTCTGGCTGACTGGGTGCAGGCATGGCCCATGCCCCTCACCGGGGCCGGGCCAATCCAAAACTTGCATCAGGTGGGGGCTGATGAGACTGCATTATCAAGTAAATGAAAGAGTGCAATTTTTAATATCCAAAACAAAGCAAAACAACAGATTTCTAAGCTACGGACACTAGATGTGTAACATAAACATACATCATATTAGTAAAAAATCACATGGCATTATGATAAGCAGCGTAGATGGAATTAAATTGAATTTACAACACATAAGAAAAATCTACTAGCCACAACTGCCGGAGAGGTGCTGAAAATACACTACTTAAAAGGACACCAACTACGAAGACTAAACAGACAATTTTCAAGTGTAATCCAAGAAAAGGTAAAGCACAAATTTGCTTTGTAATGCAAGATAATACATAAGTTAAATTGCATTGAAAATCCTCACGGTTTTGGGGGAACATTCAAACAAGTACTTGTTGGGTTTTGACTAAATTTATAAACATATTTTACTTAGTTTGAGTTTTGTTAGCAAACACAAGAAAAACAAATCATTCATAGCCAATAACCACCTATTATTTCACGACTTCATGAACAGGCCTTTGACAGGTCTCACCTCCAAAGTTTAAAGATGCCAATTGTGATTGAAATTATATATGCTAGTACTGAATGTTTTGTAATTACTAACATGATACATGGCTAATTTCATCATTCTAGTGTCATTTAGTGATCGATATCTTTGTGTAATATACAAAAGTTGCACTTGCATAGTTACTTTAAAGTGCTGCATATGTATATGAAATTTGCTTTTTATTTTAAAAGGTTCAATCTGTTTACATGTTTAAGTCGAATAAATTCTCAATTGAAATGTAAGATCAACATCTTAAGGTTACGCTTTCAGTTAGAAAATACAGTATTATTTTTCAATAGAGCTCTATTTCTCTACAACTGATCAAATGTTTTTATTTAAATCTTATAGAACATTAAAAATTGTATAATTATGGCCACACATGTATATCAATCAAATTGGCAGACTATGAAAGATAACTTACCTCATGGTTTTAAAGATACTCATTTATTCTATTAGAATGCTGATCTACATCTGTATATAACTGCCATCAAAATCCTTTAATGGTTTTAACAACATGGACGTTTATGTAACTAAAGCTTTATACAACAATTTTGAATTGTTTTCTTTTCGTTCATGTTAGAACAAAACATATTAGAAGCAAAACATTAATCAACTAACAAGGAAACTATGGACCATATAAAACACTGCACATAGATATGGAGGTTATTGTTGTCATTATACCTGTGCAAAGGGTTGGTGAACATGTTCATGATGGATAAACGGCATTCCAGGGCGCTGACAGGGATACTGAGATGAATGCAGATACATGGTTGATGATGAGTGTGCACCAACTTGATTAGGATTAAATGGGGGCATCATGGTCTCAGGATGTCCATATCCAATTCCAGCAGGTGTTGATTGTGCAGCCCATGGCCCAGGCATATGCTGTGGAAGAGGTCGTGGTTGGTGTTCAGCAGAAAGCTGGGGTCTGTGAGTGGATCCAAGTTGTGGAAACTCAGTGTTGTAATTCAATACTGCCGTATACATTGGCTGTATAGCATATGATCCTCCATTGAACCCAAAACCAGGATCAAATCTTTGCGTGTACCTGCTATACAAGTTATAAGTAGACTATTAGGCTAATTCATACATTAAATATAACTCAGTGTTTATCTTGCATACAATCACATGCTAAATAACAAAGAAACTGACAAGTTCCTTGGGACTTCAGCCTTCCAAAAAGGTTAATTATTATGATATGTGATAGACTCGAGCATATTGTCCTGAAATTAGAAATGGAAATATGGATTCAATTCGACCCACTGGATTGGCCTGTTATAATTTAATGAATATCAGTCATTGGTTAAACAAGGCAGGCTGAGTTGAATCACTCAACCCACTGACCCATTATAACCCACCCCGTGTAACCCACATGCAAATAGTTTTGAGATGGGGTTGAATTGGGCTGATCAGTGACCCATTATTAATTCATGTTAGTTGAGTATGGCCTTTGGTATTTGCATTGTGGTTTATTGGTGAATTGAGACTTATTTTTGACAATTGAACTTATTGTGTTAATGAACTATAGAATTCATATATCTATTTTTGAACTTGTAATGCCATTGGTGATGCTTCAAGAATTAGGATGTTTTTTATGAAATAATTAAGGGCTATGTTTGGATGATTTATATTTTTTTCTATTTTTAAATTTATGTCTGAAACTGTGGTCTATAACCAAGCCGGATGCCATCAAGTAACCCATATGGCAGACCTGGCCTGATGAGATAAGACTTTCTTGCCATTTTTGTAGAAGGGTCAACCTTCTATAACCCATTCTTTAAAAATTAGTCAGACAATCCAACTAACCCAAGGGTTGGATTTTCAGCCCAGCATAGGCCCAACCCAACCCCACCACTCGGGATGGAATGAGTTGACCAGTTCTGAAATCCCCCACCCGGAATATTCATTAGTCACCACATTATTCTAAAATAACTGCAGAAATATTTCAGATTCCTGCTATAATATTTAAGTATTAAAATAATAGCATAACAATCATTCAAATCTTTCTAGGGGTTTGAAGAGAATTTGCAAACAAACAGGGAAGACTGAATATTTTGTTGAATAAAGCCAATTATCAAATATTCGTTCAAACAAAAGATTCATTAAACTAAATCTTCAATACGAAGAAGGTGCTAACAAATATCAGTATGCATGGGACAGTATATCTTAATGTGTGCTAATTGCAAAATCCAAATGCCTTGGTTATCAATTATTAATTATTCATTTGTTGTGAAGAAATGATAAATTGACATAAGATATTCTGTCTACACTCCATAACTATAAGAAATGAAAGTGTGGTCTGAATATGAAGAAACATACAGAAATTTATTATCACTTTTCGTGAAATCATTTACGCCATCAAACTCAAACCATTTATATATTTACAAAGAACAAGAAACGAGATCACAAAACATAGCAAACAAAAGTGTGACAAAGAACGTAAAAGGCACAAATACCTATCATAGCTCCTGTCATAATCAGGATCTTTGCGGTCAACCTCACGATCCCGAAATATAGCCACCCTATTATTTTGCCTGTACCTACCAACTGTTTCCTTCTCTGTCCTACTTCTAGCCCTATTGGTATTACTTGAAGACTCAACCATCCCCCTACCAGAAGTGACATCAGATACCGAAGCTGATTTGTCTTCAACCCGAGGAACCCCCAATGAAACGTGCAATGAGTTATCCTGCTGTCTTGAGTCACACTCTGGCTTCCCAACTACAGTTCCACCATTATTGCTTGAACTAAATATCCTTGCTCGAGCCCGATTATATTCCTCTTTTCTCTCTTCCACACTTTTAGAGTTACTATTCTTCATTGAGTTTGAATTTGCATTACTAAGTATCTGTGTCCCCTTCTGTGGCCTCTGTTTGATTGCAACCTTCATGACAGCACTGTTTTCTGATGATAATTTCACTGGGATGTCAGCAAGGCGGATAACTGGAAGCCTACATTCAGAGGTTTTGCGAACAATAATTCTTGAGCCAGAACCGTCTGGTAAACTATTATCTAGTAACACCATTGACTGTAATGAGTAGTGCTGAGCCACCCGATGCGCAGCAAGCCTCAAATAGGATGTTGGAAGCTGCTTAAATTCAAGCTGCTGTTGAGTTGGATCACGAATAAAGTTTTCAACATCTTGCTCCATCCTCAAAACTGAATATCAAATTATAAGCCTTAATCAGTGGGGCGCAACATAATATTCTATGAAAACAATTGGAAAAGTAGCAAGCAAATGAATCACGTGAGATCGATAGAACATTTACATGTAAAATTTTAATTATAAATAACTATGTTTTTGCATCCTCATTTTTTTCTTTTAACGTGGGGTAATCACTCTCCCCAGAAAATATATCTAGAAAGTCCCTGAAAACTCTAAATCTGAAAGGCACAAGAAAAGGCATCTGCAAAAATCCAGTCAAATAAAAAACATTCTCTTGCGATCGACAAATTAGATAGTTCAAACTCAAAATTAAGGTCAGGAAGCAGCTTGGTTGAGTTTTCATATGATTTGACTCCTCTCAAATGAAACATTCACTATAGACGTGATGAATAAGGAATTAAATCTACTGATGAGAAGGTGGTAGAGAACGAGAAAAACATTCCAAATAAGAATCTTTCACTTCAAAAACCCAAATCCTTTCATATGGTGGCTACACTTAAAAATGCAGAAACTATGCCGGAATTGTTTCTCTCACCACACCGCACAAGCGTAAAATTATACTGGCAGTGTAGCTAATTACAGCCCAAAATTTTTAACAGTAATCAGAACCTAAATCAACTCCCTGATACCAATTATAACACCCAACAAAAGAAAATCTAGGATTTCGGAGTCTAATATAATTCACGAAATATTAACAAAGTAAAAATTTCTCTGAGAACGTTGAAAGAAACAAGAGCTTATAAATGCCTTCCCCCAACTAATTGATGCCTGTAAAGGTAAACCTACTTGAGAGTCGTTCGCGAG